TACATTTTGTATTTGTGGGGTATTAAGTATAGATAAATAAAAAAAAAAAATGAATTTGAACGATTGTAGTACCAGGCTGCAACATAACAAAATTGAAAAAAGTGAAGGGGGTCTGAATACTTTCCGAATGCACTGTACAGGCCTGATTGACTTATTATACTAAATCAAATACAAGAATGTGTGAACCAAGCCAGTAAGGTAGTTTTCTATATTCCTAATTACACTAAAATCAACTGTTTTCTCAAGCTTGAAGCTATCTTAATGTGTTGGAAATATCAATTTCAAACTCCCCAGCCAGCAGGACCAGTAGAGTTGGGAACTGTGGGACTTGTAAATCCTACTGTTTCTGGAGAGTACCAAACTGGGGAGATGAGTTCTATAATATTGGCATCTGAAATTGTCCTTAATCCTTGCTTTTGATGCTGGCTTCCTCCAGCATTCTTCATATTCTTTTAGAAGTTGTACAGTTTCACCTCTTCAAAATAAAGCTGTCCTTTGAGAAAATATGCCAGAGGGTCTCCATCTTTGATCCGCTTTTCCAGATGTTCTTCAGCCTTTGCAAGCAGAAAACCGTGACTGTAAGTCTCTGTTTAAAAATAGAAACACAACTATGGGTATTTATGAGATAATCAGCATATAAAGCAGATGTGGAGAAACTTTTTGGACCAGAAGATTTCTTTTTCTTAATGGGCATTTGTTGAAGCTGCATGTCAGTTATGGGTAGGGCCAACAGCCAAAGTGGGAGGAGCTACAGATGTTATTAAAATTATGGAGCTACAATGTTAATACAATCACACCGATGTTCACACACTGGATGGATAACAAGCTTACATTTCCCTCCACTCTGACTGCTGCTTATCAGAGTGTAAAGGACCAAATTTATATACTGGACTGGATGGTTTAATTCCCATCACTATCCTTTAGATGGGAATTAAACTCATTCCTAGTGAGGAATGGGTGAACAGAAGAAGTATCATGGGGAGGACACCAGGGGCTGGAACCAGAGGCCTGGTGACTCCATTAAGTTGGCAGGCAGACACATCTCAGGAGTGCCATCCTGACTGTATTACATAAAGCCATGTTAAATAGCTCAGTTCTCAGCTCAATTCTCCTGATATATTTTCCTTCAACTCAGTGTTTTTCTAAAAGATTATGTAGGCAAAGAAAATGGCCCCAATCCAAAGATCACTGAGCACAGCATGTAACTGTACAGATGGTTGGCAGTCAGTTTTGAGAATACTAATCATGCTGGGGAAGAAGGGGGGCACATTTTCTCCTTTCTTACTCCCTACAACTTATCAATGCTGACTACACTATCTGGGAGAAATATGCATGAACACCTTGTTCAAGGAAGGTGTTACATAATAAACTGCAATACCATAAGGAGGAAGTGATGTATATTCCTTTATTTTCTAAACAAATTCAATGAAATATAGTATATTTCCCGAACACAGAATCAATGCTTTGCTGAGAAGCCCTGCAGTGCTGTTGGTAAGTCTGACATTGCAGAGCTATAGATAAGGTATAGGAAGGGACAGTGGGACAAGTAAGGTGGTTTACACTGAGAGCTAAATCAAATGAATCAAATTTAACTTCCATGGTTTTATAGGTTTGCTTAACTGATGTTTATTTAAACCAGGATTTCTATCCCATATACTGTATAATAGTAAGCCAGAATTTTCTGAGCAGTGTTTCTGTTCTGGCTTCAAGTAACAGAAAGAGAAGAGAGAGAGAAAAGCATGATCACTTGGAAGGTTAGCTCATTCATCTGTAGGGAAGTCAGCAGCATAATCTCTCTGCCTTTCTTGGCAAAGTGATTGCAGCTGCCATTTTAAAGAAGAGAACCTGTGGCAATCTGCAAAAAGTTCTCTTCCCTTTCTTGGCAGAGGATCAGGCTACAATCAGTTCATAGCTCCTGTAATCCTGTTCCTCCACTTGTTCAGGGAACAAGAGTGAGACTTCTTCTAATTCAGGTATTATGAAAGTATTCCTTCACCTTATCCCAACTGCAAGATAAAAAAATGAAGAATTGTTAAAGCTAGAAAGTATGTTCTTTTGTTACCTTGATTGGATAGCCATCTTAAACCATCCAATTCGCTACTGCAGTACTTTGAAATGGACTGGAGAATGGTCTCGCTGCTGTGTACATGAGGCAGAGGTTCACTGGTCAGCTTCATTTTTCTCTTTCACATTATTCCTGTCTGTAACAAAAACTGAAAAACATACTCAGCCTTGAGAAAGGGTTATTTGCCTCTATCTTATATTCCACTTTCCCTAGGATATGGGCCTTTCTTTTAAGACTTCCTTCTTACACTGATTTCTAATATTCCCCATTGACTTCTATGGGTTAGCAAATGTACTTATTATTTAAATTTATATGGCCATCTCAAATTCATGACTCTGGGCAACTAACAGTGTTAAAATATAAAATCATAGAAAAACAGAAAACCAAAAAACAACACACACAGAAACAGCAGCCAGGGTAAAAACAGACCCACTAATCACAAGTTAACATAACCAATGTTAAGGGCTCAGCCATGCCTCCTGACTCCCAGGCCCAGTGCCAGTCCAAGGTATGATATCCTCAGGGGTTCATTCCTTTCAGGCAATCTTGCAGCAGAAATATGTATTGTGTTTGCTTCCATACTGACAAGTAGCTATTTAAAAACAGAACAGTAGCTAGCATATGGCAGCATAAAGGATGATAAAGAACTGAACATATACAGGTAATCCTCGGGTTATGATGGCAATTGGGACTGGGATTGCCGCTGCTAAGCGATGTGGTCGTAAAGTGCAATGTCATGCTGGAATGTGACAGCAGTTCCAGCAGTCCCCATTGCCATTATAACCCCAAGATGCGTGAGTCATTAAGCAGGAGGAGACGGGAGTCTCAGGTAAGGAGCGCAGGGGTGTTGCGTGGGGATGGGAGGTGCCGCAAGGGGGTAGGGGAGGTCAAGGAGGCCCTGAGAGGGCTAGTGTAGGCCGTGCGCAAGTGGGGGGAGGCTGGGGAGGGTCTGGGAGGGCCGGTGCAGGCCACATGCAAGTTGGGAGAAGCCAGGGAGGGCCTGCGAGGGCCAGCACAGGCCATGCGCAGGCAGGGGGTGCTGCAATCAGGAGAAAAAGTGGGAGCAACTTGCCACCTTCCCTGTTGGCTTCCCCATTGACTTTGCTTGTGGGAAGCAGGCAGGGAAGGTCACAAATGGCAATCACGTGATCATGGCTTCCTGCAATGTCATAATCATGAGCTGAGCACCCAAGCTCCCAGATCACGATCATGACCGGGGGGGGGGTGATGGCCGGAATTTTGAGGACAGTTGTATGTCCATTTTTTCAGTGCTGCTGTAACTTTGAATGGTCACTGAATGAATGGACATAAACTGAGGACTACCTGTATGTATTTTTAAAG